GATTTAAATAATTATAATTAAGTTTGCATATGAAAAGTGAAATTGGACAGGGAATATTATTGTTATTCATCAGCTGTATTCTCGTTTTATTCTCACCAAATATTTGCTCCAGCACAACGAAATACATCTACATAGGCTCTGTTACAAAGATCGGTGTAATTTTTCAAGATAGTAAAATTTGTGAAAGACTTCAAAATAGAGATGTCACTCATACATGATAAGAAGCAACAATTGCAGATCAAATAATTTTGTGCAACGCTCTGTAGAATATACCCCCCAATGTGATATATTTGGTTTCACTCAGAGTTGTCAAAAATTGAGTCTTCAAATACTTCCATTGAATTGCAATACTACCGATACGGTTAAAAAATATTCATTTTACCGTAATCTCGACCGTAATAGACGAGTGCACGGATGGATTTGAGTTCACTCACTCAGTTTACTAAAAATGACCTTACCTTACCAATCAGGCTAAGGCCTTGTTGTCCTCTGCTGTCCGAAGAAGTCGTCTCCACTCTACTCGATCCATGGCCACAGTTCGCCAGCCTCGTAGTCTGCGAAGGGTCCGCAGGTCACCTTCTACTTGGTCGATCCACCTTGCCCGCTGCGCGCCTCTTCTTCTTGTTCCTGTTGGGTCGCTTTCTAGAACCATTTTCACTGGGTCGTCGTGCGGCATTCTTACGACGTGCCCAGCCCACCGTAGTCGCTTAATTTTTGCAATGTGGACGATGGATGGTTCTCCCAGCAGCTGGTGCAATTCGTGGTTCATTCGCCTCCTCCACGTTCCGTCATCCATCTGCACTCCACCGTAGTTGGTCCTCCACGAGCATAGTCCAGGTCTCGTGGCCGTAAAGGACCACCGGTCTAATCAGCGTCTTGTAGACAGTCAACTTCGTGCGGCGGCGAATTTTATTCGACCGGAGCGTCCTCCGGAGTCCAAAGTTGGCACGATTCCCTGCCATAATGCGTCTTTGAATTTCTCTGCTGGTATCATTTTCGGCGGTCACCAGTGAGCCCAAATACACGAACTCATCGACCACCTCGATTTCGTCACCGTCAATCTGAACTCGGGGTGGGAGGCTAACATTGTCTTCCCTAGAACCTCTTGCTTTCATGTATTTTGTCTTTGATGCGTTGATGGCAAGTCCAATCCGTCTAGCTTCAGCCTTCAGTCTGATGTACGTTTCCGCTATCATCTCAAAGTTCCGTGCCATAATGTCAATGTCATAGGGCCTTTGTAGATAGGGCCTTTTCAAATGTTACGCGAGCATTTTCAAGTGTTCATTTTTAGATGAACTAAAGTTCACCCCCGTGCACAGGTCTATGTTGAAGCAGACGACAGTCGCTCAAATCAAAAGTCACTTGAAGTAAACACAAAACTGCGGCTTGCTAAATCTTGCAGAAAAAGAAATTAGTTGGCCGTGCAACCAGATTTACTTTTATTCTCTCCGCGCGTCTCTTATATAGCATCGTCTCTGAACAAGCCTACGTCAGACAAAAAAGGAAGGCTAGTGTTAAATAGAGGTAAAATTGGGCAATACCAAACCACAGACAAACAGACGTAACTCTTAGAAAAACTTGTTCTTAAAAACATAGTATCTCAAAACATATAACCTCAGTAACGACATCTCTCTGGCTTCTCGCGGAAAACAAGCTTGCTCGCTAACTCGTAAACAATATTGCATAAAAGTTCTATAGAATATATAGAAACGTCAAAGTGATCCGATGCCAGCGCTACGGCGAGTAGTTCGCAGAACTGATAATATTCAAATCAACCGTTAAATGCATGAACGAATATACACAATGAAGAGTTACGTCTGTTTGTCTGTGACCAAACTTAAAATTTATAATGGCGTGGCCAAACAGGGTTGACTTGTGAGGGAAGCCCATTTAGCATAAAGACGTTCGGCATAATTTTAATTGGAATACACACTTATGTTGTTTACCAAACTTTCAACAGCTGAACTTTAACCCTCATTTCAAAAGCTGTTTCATTAAATTTTAATTTCGAAACACTGTCAGCGTTGTTTAAACAATCGAGCCTGGCCTTGTTTTGAAGTCTTTAAACTAATAAATTTAAATTCCTGCTCTTTATTGAACAGTTCAGCTGTTGAAAGTTCGGTAAAAATTACAAGTATCGAGTGTCCGGTAATCACTTCTTAGTGTGTAAACTCATTTGGCATAATCTCCGAAAAACATCACAATGAAATACTTTGACCATTTAGCATAAAGTCGTTTGGCCAAATGTTAGTTGACTAAAACTCATTTGGCATAATCTCCGAAAATTATCAAAATTAAATACTGGGTCGTTTGGTATAATTGCCATTTGGCATAAATGAGCCTTGGAATAATCGAGTGTTAACAGTCCATACAAATTTTCAACGATTTATGTGGATGATTGTCTGCGCAGGGGAAGAGGAGTGAGTATCAAAACGGTGTTCGAAAAGTGAGATTTTCACAGATTCAATGTGAAAATTTTGTGTGCAATGATGTCATTGGGTTCTTTTTTTTTTTCATCTGCAAATATCACTTTTTAGAGTGTCAACTCAGCGAGTATGAATTGAAAACAAATTTAACTTTGTCAATACCTAAACGTATTTTTACGTACTTTGCTGTCCAACTACCAAATCTTTCTATCCCCACCAGCTGCAACAGCGTTGTCAGGATAGATCTAGATTGTTGGAGGTTGCATCATTTCTATGTAAGGGTGATTCAAGTTTCCGACAATATTTAGAGACCATGCCTTATCCTAGGCACGGAATCCAACCAACAATAATCGACTTTTCGAATACTCATAGTTCTCGAATTGCCCCTAAAAGTTGTCCTGGGTACTAAATATAACCCACATTATATTATTATTTTTTCTTCTAGAACCATGAGAAAATATGGTCTTGAACAAACTTAAATTTATTACAAAATTTTCTTAAAATTGCTGGTAAGGTCATTCCAAAACTGCTCGACAAAATGATTATTTATGACTTATTTTGAATCATACTCATCATCAGCTTGCTTGACCAATCTTAACACCCTGAATGGAATTATTCCCTATATACATATTCCAAATTATCCAACCAACTCTAAACATAGCTTCCAATTTCGTCTCTTCTCCAGGAGTTCGCCTGCTTGCGACAAAACTCGTCGAACAGTGGCTCAAGATAGCACGTAACGACATTCGCTCCGGCAATCAACAGCAATCGCAACAATCGTCTCAACAGTCCAGCCCAGCCCAGCAGTCCGGCAGCAGCAGTTCGGATGACAAATCGCGTAACCCGGAGGACACCATGTCGGAAGAAAATAAAGATGTCGATGAGTCATCGCATGAGGAGGAGGAGGAGGTTCTGGACGAGACGACGGTGATCGAAAACGGAGACGACGCTCTGGATGCCGTAGCAATAGAGGCCGCCGATGCGGAACATGCGGAAGATGGTGTCATGGATGAGACGGCAGAGGGAAAGAACGACGAAGGAGAAGAAGATGTCGAAGAGGCAAAGAAAGCTTTCAACGCTGCAGTGGCGGATGGCAATAGCAAGAAGTCTCCGTTGTTGTTTAAAATTACGATGAAAAATGGTAAACAAGTGTTGGCAAAGGTCGAATCACCGACAAAGAAAGGTGACGCTTCTTTGGGGGATGACGAAGAGGAGAAACCGAATGTGGAAGAAGATGGCATTAAAGATGAAGTGAAAGAGGAAGACCAAGATCAAACATTGACTGAGGAGGGCGATCCGGAGGTTGAAGAAACTGACTCGAAGGAAAAGTTGAATAAAAGTGTGCCTGACAATGGAGATAAGGACGAGAAAAAAGATAAAAGTGAAGTGGAAAAGGAAAAAGACAAAGATCGAAGGAAAAGTGTTGAAAAGGATCGAAGCAAAGAGTCCAAAGAAAAAATCTCTTCTAAGGATAAAGATAAGCATCGGGATAAGAAATCTAGCAGCAGCGGTCATAGATCTTCCTCATCCAAGTCATCTTCGTCGTCGTCGAAGCATAACAGCAGCACGAGTAGCAACAGCAGCAAAAGCAAATCCACCAGCTCGAGTTCGACGGGCAAGAGTTCTAGTTCTAGCTCCAAAGATAAGGATAAGGAGAAAGATCGTAACAGTAGTAGCAGCAAGCAACATCACAAACACTCATCCTCGTCGAAAACATCTAGCAGGAGCAGCAGCAGCAGTAGTTCAAATGACAAGCACCGCGAGCACAAAGACAAGGAAAAGTCTAGCCATTCAAGCAAGGACAAAGAAGGTCATCCGAAGATATCCTCCCCGGCCAGTAGTAGTAAGTTGGACAAAAATCCTAAAAAATCTAGAGATGGAGCCGATGAGAAGTCAGATTCATCGGCGGATAACAGCAGACCGTCACCAGCGAATAGTAACAAGAAAGCGTCGATTTCGATTGAAGTGCGCAACTCCGAGCATCGTCCGAAAACGGTCAAGACGTTCAACTCTCAATTCCGCTCGCACGGTTTGATTGAGGAAGCGCCTCCGCCGCCATCGCGTAAGGGTCTGAAGAAGCCATTGACGACGACAACGTTGGGGGTTGTGGGATCAACTGCTACCGGAACCGTCCACACCAAACGGCCATCACCGCCGCCTTCATCCAAAGAAGGACCCCCGGAGAAGAAAGCCCGCGAAGATCCCGCCGAGCGACCGGGTGCAATTAAGCTGATTCCACCGAAAAGGCAGCGTAAGTATCTGGGGAACCACCTAGCTATTGATGGGAGTTTTTTGAGTATCGTTTCAGATCACGGCGGTTGGAAGTGTGCAATTTCGATGGTAGCATCGTCGGCGGCATAGCGAAAGGTGGTGCGAAATGAAGGGGGAGGGGTGTGACCGCATCGTGATTATGATTTGTGTTAGTTGTTGTGCGACATGTAGATATCAACTTGTCATTGATAGTTGTAACTTTTGGAACGTTGGATCAGTATTCGGTTCTGAAGTCTATCCCCATGTTTTGCTTTCATACTGGATGTCTGTCAGCAAGACGAGGAAGAAATGTTTCAAAACATGTTTACTGATGTTGTGAAAACAATGCAGTTAGTAGATTTATGTCAATAATGAAGGAGCAGTTTGCCGCTGTGACGTAGCGCAACGGGACGACGTCGTGGGACTCCTCCGCTGGACGGACAACAACGCCAACGGGCGACGATGAGTAAGATTCTTTAATGATAGTTCTATTAATTACCACAAACCAAATACCACAAATGAACCAAAGAACGCTCTGCCAGTGCGCGTCAAAGTGCGCATCTTAAGCAAATACGCAATCAACCCGCGCCGGAGTTTGGGACCACGATGGACAATGGAGCGAGTTTCTCTTTTTTTATGTGCCATTAGATTTAAGAGTTGTCACATAAGTTGTCCCCCCCTGAGGATCCGATCTGTTGTGCCCAGATGTTAACATTTTCCTTTCAGGTTACAGAAATGCAACAGGCCATTTCTCGCACTTGTATCCGATTGTAACTTCCGGTGGGGCGAGCAATTTTTCCACGACGTTTATTCCAGGAACGAGAAAAATCGCACTGCCTTCCATCGAAAGCCACAAGGCGAGCAAATGAGTTCCTCCGGTAAATAAACACTAAGAGGTTGTAACTGTCAAATGAGAAAAGAGTCCTAACCAAATAAAAAAAACAACTACAAATAAACCAAACCGTAACCTGCGGAGTCCTACGAGTCCAAGGCCGAACTAGCAAAAGGGTGCCTCATTTCCTTCTCTGCGTGCTGCTGCGTCTGCGAGTAGTGTCTGAGATCGGAAAGAAGAACAAATAGAATACGATGCGCAGCTGAGGGATGGTTGTTTTGATTTTCTTGATGTCCTGCTACTTAGAAGACGACGGAGGGAGGGTCTCGTTTTTCTCTGAACATGAACACGTGACGGATTTTTAGAATGCTAAGAAACTGTTAGTAGAATGGTAATAGCAACAAAGGCCTCTAGGGTTGGGTCAGAGGTCTGATGGTACAAGATGGGCAAGAGAACGTTTAACCATAACGATTCTTTTGAGTCGTTAGGCTCGTGGACAGTACAAAAAGTATCCAACAGTTGACAACTCGATCATTGGATTTAAATTAAACTATCAAAAATTGACTGAAGACTGTTCGGTTGCTAAAAGGATGGTCCCAGTTGACCGTTTCAATGTATTGCATCCCACTAATTGCACGAACTGCTGCTTGGCATTCTTAAATTGCTGACCCCTCGCGCTTAAATTGCGTCTAGTCAAAAAATAAAGATCTGGATAATTCAATATTAAACATACCGAAAATAGCACTCAATAGATTAGGAGAGAACAGGGCTTATATTTTATGCAAAATAATGCCGGTTATACTAGAGAAGCTCTAAAATATGGTGATTAATGTAATACGCGACAGAAACCACAGTTGGGCGTTATAAGGGTTGAAATGAACTTTTCATGGCACAAGTCTCGGAAGCTACAGGGACTTCGTGTACGAAATTGCTGCGCTGAAAGTATAAGAACTCTCGGTTACTTTTGCGAAGGGACGTATCAGCTTTTGTAAACAATGTATTTGATCGTAGATTTGACGTAACTGGTAGCTCGTCCACGCATACTAACATCACTATCAGGTAGGAGAAAAAATCCCCTATCTGTGGGTAGTGTTGGAATGCGTCGCCGACCTACCAGTTACGTCAAATCGACGATCAAATGCATTGTTTACAAAAGCTGATACGTTCCTTTCGAAAATGTAATCGAGAACTATCGAAAATAAGGCTTCCATAGAGTATCACCATTCAAGATCGAATCCTTCAAAGTAAGCTATGAACATGATTGCATTCTGCAGATAGTTCCAGATGAAAATTTCAAAGGTCCTATCTCTTTTGATCGGTTCTATTAATCTACATTTTCTTTTGGTAATCGCGGCTATGTAAACACATTTCTAGATGTAGTTTCGCCTAATGGTTTGGTAAATGAAGTGCTTATCTAGTGCACAAAACATTAAACATAGCAGGGAACGCATTTGCAGCTGAGTTCTGATAAACATTTCAGAAGGTGCTATCCGTCTTGCTCGATTCTATTCATCGACTTTCTCTTGTTGATAACTCAACTTCAAAAGCATCCCCTGCTGTGTTCAACGTTCGAAGCGCAAGATAATAATTTCCGCCATCAAACTGTGTATAATAGCACGAAATGTGTTTGAGTAGGCGTGGTTATCAAAGGAGAAAGTCGATGAAAAGAATCGATCAAAGAAGATAGGAACTTTTGAAATGTTCATCTAGATGTAGTTGATTCGAAAAATACAAGTTCTTTTTCAAGAGTGAATTTTCAAATAACCGTATCTGCTTTTGTAAACACAAAGATTCAAACGTCAATTTGTCGAAATTCTTAGCTCGCCCACGCTAACTAACAACACCGTTATGCTGGGGAAGTTTGGGATTTCGATAAATAAATTGACGTTTGAACCTTTGTTTACAAAAGCAGAAACGGCTGTTTGAAAATTCACTCTCGATTTGAGTATTTTAAAATGATCTGAGGACGTATCTCAGAAATCAAAGGCGACAATAAATTCTTCGTACAGGCCAGTAAAGCGATAAATCGACATAGGGTGAATAACGGCTTTTGCAGCCAAAATTTACACGTCCTACTTAAAAATGATGGAAGCTTGTGTAGTACAGGTATTGCTAGATAGGAATAACGGAGATCAATTCAATCAAAACATTTTTCGTTATTCTGGCCTCTGTGAAAAAAATCTATGGAATTATTTTAAGCGCAGTAGTGGGCCATTTTTTGACCCTTGTGGTCCTCTAATTGGCCCTATCTTAATTTTAAATTGTATTAATTCTTTACCAAATTTATGTCGATGCATGGTTAGGGCTTAGATTTTGCCATATATCTAAGCAAATAAAACTTAGAAACTTAATTTCAAATTTGAAAGTTGGAGCACTAGTGCCATAATTGGCACACTTACTAAAGTCCAGTTTGGTGGAAAACGCAAATAAATACGTGATTTAGAAATTCAACATGGCCTTTTACATACAGAACCATACGTTGAATAGTGCCTAAAATTATGACCAACTCGATGTTTAGGTACCCAATTTAGTCTCATCAGCCGGTACGAGGTTTCATTGACCCACTGACGATAATAGATAACACGTCTTCTTCTTTGACTTTAGTACGTTCGTCCCTACTGAGACTGTACGCCGGCTCTTATTTTCTTCTTATTTTTCGCATATTGCGTGCTCTCAAACTTAGTGTTCCAAATGCACTTCCACAGTTATTAATTGAGAGCTTTCGATGCCAAATACCAATGCATGAATTTGTATATTGGGTGGCAAAGCCCAATGATACTCAATGCCCAGGGAAGTCGAGAAAATGTCCAACCAGAAAGATTCCCTCGACCGGACCGGGAATCGAACCCGCCGCCTCCGGCTTGGTAATACCGTGCCTTTACTGACTAGACTATGAGGCCCTCAACTTGTGTGTTATTTGAGCGCGAGTTGTTAATTTAGAGCTTTCTAAGCTTGTACCATTTTTGCATTAGTAAGGGAAGGAGGGTCAAAGTGAGTTTCCTGTGCTTTAGCCTTGCATTTCTTTTGGTTCGAAAGCAATTAATTGGTCAAAAATCATTGCAATAGTGATATTGAACTTACTGCCGATTAATTTATTTCGAACAATTAGAGGTTTAGCGCGGGAATACGGGATGCTCATTATGCCCCACTTGTTCGCTATTCTTTTTAGGGCAACACAGCTTTTTGAACAATGACTTCTCGATTAGTTTTTCGAAGGGACGTATCAGCTTTTGTAAACAATGCATTTGATCGTCGATTAAGCTTAACTGGTAGCTCGCCCACACATACTAACACCACTATCAGATAGGGGAAATGTTCCCCTACCTGATAGTCGTGTTAGTATGCGTGAGCGAGCTACCAGTTAAGCTTAATCGACGATCAAATGCATTGTTTACAAATGCTGATACTTCCCTTCGAAAAAGTAATCGAGACTTCTCTCGATGATTTCTAGGAATTCAAGACACGCCCACGCAAACCAACATAACTATCGGGTAAGGGAAGTCTTCGCCCCCTACCCGACGATGATGTTAATTTGCGTGGGTGAGCCTTGACTTCTAGCAATCATCGAGAGAAGTCATTTAGGCCTATTCTGCGAGGGCGTGTAGGGTGAGGTGAAAGTGAAATGATGGTGAAGTGACAATTGTCACCTCGGGAGAGGTGACTCTCCTTTTCCTGCTATATGGAGAGACACCTCACCAGAGGTGACAATAATTGTCCCTCACAAGTGACAGCTTGTCACCTCACCTCACACGACGCGCAGAATAGGCCTAACATTATTAACAAAAGCTGTAACGTCCTAATTCCAACTCTATCAGGAATTGTGTGGCAAGTATAATTATGTACTCTATGCCCTGGAAAGTGGAAACAAATTTCAACCCGATAAAATCCTAGACCGGACCGGGAATCGAACCCAACTGCCTCCAGCCTGGTCTTGCTTCATTACCGACTGAGCTAAGGCCCCAAATGACTTAAAACTAGTTAAAACTAAATTCACCAAGCTCTACTCAAAACTCTCAAGTCTTCTCTGGTAAATTATGATCCGCGTACCGGCCTTACAGTAAATCGGGTACTGAAACATCCATCAAGGTGTCTATTTAACAAAAAAAATTATTCTTGAATTAACATAGGTAGTAGATGAAAAGAATCGATTATTGTAATTTAGACCTTTTGAAATATTCATCGAGATCTATCTGAACATTCATGCTTCCCTAAAATTATACAAGTAGATTTGTACGGGTTTAGGAAAGCAGTCTTTTTTTTATTAAAGTCACTTTAACACCCTGGGTCGTATTCAAGACTTATTCGGGGAATGAGATTTGAACTCGTGACTGGGGTGTGAAAAGGTACGAAAGCTAACCACTACGCCCCAGCGTTGAAATAGATATAAGGTGGTCTGCCAGCACAAAATTTCCAAAGGATCTCTTAGTACCTTTTACTAAAATTACATTTGATTCCATCGAAATATACGATTGGTTTAATGCCAGTCTAATTATAAGCATTAAGGCTTACGCCACAATTCAAATTGAATGATTTAAAGTTGCTAAAAATCGTCGTTATTTCCGTTTTAGAACAAAACGTTGGTTTGTAAGCAAAACCCGATTCGTTCGAAAACGGGAATGAGGGCAGTACCTAGTTTCTTCAAGCTTCAGTAAGTTGCTTCGAAAACAACCATGAGAAGTGCTTACCAACCCCTTATGTGGATATGATGATTGGTTACAACAATGTCTGATATCGTTCATATATGGTACCCGCTTATTGGGGTAGCCTGCTGAACTATACCCGCACTGCGGTTACGCAACTATTAAATAATCATTCCCAACTCCCGCTGCGCATCGTACAACTAAATCAACCTTCAGTCCGGTCTTCTTTGGTCCACGGCGCAGGCACGCGCGCGCACCCTCTACTGCTGGTTCGGCTTTCGATGAGGCACTTTTCATTTCCTGACTGCAACTAGCTCCCTACATCGAGTCCTCCTCCATGGGTTGTACATAGATTTAAATCCACACACACTCGCACACCCACGCTCATCTGCGCACAGACCGATGTATCCGATTCGTTGCCGGGTGCTTGTCTCGTGTGAGTCCCGGATTCCCAAGCGACGACGACAAGGGGCCAAGGATGACAAAATGATGGTGAAATACGACGACGCCTCTCAAAGTGTAGTTTGTCTGTGGTGGTTGCGTGTTTGTGTATGAGTGTGTGCGGCCGCGTTTGAAGGCATTTATGATTCATGACGGAAAATAGTAGGGAATTGGAACGATCGAAAAAGCGTCCATGAATAATGCATTTTTTTTCTCTGCTCTGTCCGAATAGATGAATGTGGAAAGCTTTGGCAGATATGACACTTATGGGCACTTTTAGGACATGTACTTAGGGTTCAATCTGAAAGCCATCATAAAATTAATCATTTAGTATTCAATATGCCATGGCCGTCAGGCATGTCACAATTTGCCCGAAGGTTAACGATTGATAAGCAACGCGTTTCACCTGATAGGTGCTTCGATATTTATTTATTTTTCATTATGGGCCCGACACGGTCGATCAGATCGACTCAATTTCGTCAAAATGAATATTCTGGGCAAAAGCCGTGGAAAATCAGGAAACACGTCTCGAATATTAGGAAAATCCATGGAAATTTTACTCAGTCTAGGAGTATTCTAAAACAGTGAGTGAAACCTCTATCGATTTTCCTCATATGCGAGAAGTTTTTCCCGGAAAATTAAACTAACTTTTGACGAAATTGAGTCGATTCGACTCGATTTTGAGTTGGTCTGTTCGACCGTGCACTGGCCTCGTAAGCTAGCAGAGCTTTGATTTTCCAGTACCTTATTTCTTCTTCTTCTCTGCATTTCAAGCTTATTGCTTATAGCATATTAGCTTATTGCGTGCTCTCAACTAGATGCACTTTCACAGTTATTAATTAGGAGCCTGTACCATTTTTGAATTAGTATAATTGTGTGGCAAGTACAATCATACTCTTAAATGCCCAGAGAAGTCGAGACATTTTTCAACCCGAAAAATTTCTCTAGCGGACCGGGAATCGAACCCAGCCACCTCCAGTATGGTCTTGCGTTGTAGTTGCGCCTTTACCGAGCTAAGGGATGCCCCAGTACCTACCACAAAGAAAAAATAACCACGATTGACGCATGCCGTTTTAAAGGTGAATTCAGAAATCAGTGGGGGGAATCGCAGGTATGAGAGAGACAAAAGCACTAGTTATCTCTCTCATATGTAGACCCCGCTCCGCCTCGCTCATGCACCCTCATGCCTGAAGAAGACATCTTTATGGTGTGTGACATTGAACAAAATGCCATGCGACTCCCTTGTTGTGTTGGCTTTACTGTGCGACGCGAGGTTTAGCTTTCTTTGTCTACACGATTATGGTGACTCATTGGGTTTTTTTTTGGGTAGGGCATGTTGATAGGATAGGCGACACTAAAGTTGGCTGGTCGGTTGGTTATCGTTATTTACGAGACTCTCAACCATTCATTCGGCTTGGAAACTGAAGCTCATTTATTTGCTTAAAAGTATCGATTTTTGATCAGATCATTCGTTTCAATAAAAATAAACTAGGTCAAGTTGTTAGTTAATTTTAATGCGGGTAAAAGCAAACTTTTGTACATATTTAGGGAAAGGAGGGGCATAGTGAGCTTCCTGTGCTTTAGCCTTGGGTTTCGTATGGTTCGAAACAAATCAATTGGTCAATAATTTTTGCAATGGTGATATTGAACTTACCAGTTAATTTGATTCGGTTAGAAGTTTAGGACAGGAGTGCGTGATGTTCATTATGCCCCACCTGTTCACTATGCCCCTCTTACGTCTAGCTTTATCATATAGACATCCACATCATACCAGCATTCGCTGATATGAAATATAACAACACAGGAATCCCTCGGAGACCACAGTGGGTGGTTCCGTCCACCCACCGCTTTTTCTCGATTGTAAAACAGCTGTGAAATAGCGCGCTCTTCGGAGGATTTGTGTATTTAAGAACACGGGTCACGGACGCCTTTTTTCACCTGGGTACAGCGGCCTCAATCGATTTTATTTTGCATGCCAATGGAAAATTGCTTCAAAATGCGCTTCTTCAGTTCAATCCCGCCAAAAACTTCGAGCCAGTAGGGCTCGAGCCTCCATGACTTCAATAAAGTTTGTTTACTGTTTCCAAACTGTGCCTAGGTTTTAAGCTTGCTTCACTGAGATAGCCGGCTTCTGCCGTTCAGCTTACAATTAGTAATCTGTCTCGAAAAAGTAATGTTCATTTCTATGAGATGATAATAGGTACTTGATGATAGATAAGAGCAGTAACTACATTTGTGGCTTCTAAATGTTTGGCTCCCAGTTGACCCAGATTTTGGCTCCCCTGTACCCAGATTTTCACTACAGTTGTTTCCCCACTTTTCGTTTTCTCGGGCATATACAACTCACGATCTACTTCATACCAGGAAGTGACAAATGCTTCGCAATAGTATCGAGTTAAATGTTCAGCTCTACACAGCTTGCGCAGACACACGACTTCTATTAGTCCAAGAGTAATCTCGAGCAAATTCGGCCCCCTTTCCATGAAGCTATGCACGATATAATTAGTAGACTATGTGATTTGTACCCCTGAAAACGTGAAGTATTTGAGCAGATGAAGCTTGTCCTTAATTGAATATCGTTTTGCCTTGACCCTACCTCAAGCCATAAATTTTGAATTAAAAGCAATTGATAGTTCAATTACGTTACAGAACAAACAATTAATTGGTAAACAATTCTAATATGAAATAGTTTCTGCTTGCTGCAAACATTTGATCAGCTGGACCAGTAGATTCTAGTAAAATCACTTTAATAAAGAATAAAAAAAAGTTAGTTCTAGAGCAGTGTTGATCAGCTGAAGGCATATGACGGGCCATATAGCTAGTTTCTATACGTAAAGTGCGGACCACACTCAGTGTCGTAGAGAGGGGGAGGGCAAGGGTGACAAGCTAAATGGTCGAATTCAAAGAGTTTCTTGAAACAATTTTTTAGTTCTTGAAGCATGAAACATATTTTTACAAACTGCATAAAATTTTCTGAGCTTTAAAATTAAGTTCGTACATATTTTGAAATCCGAGATCTCAAAGATTTTCAAGAGTAATTGAGCTGAATGGGGGGTAGCAAGGTCGAATTTAGGAAAGTAAAATATTGCAGTAAAAAATTCTTCTGGAAATCATTTGCTTGCAAATAAAGTTAAGATCTGAGCTTGAAATTATTCTTGATGAATTCCAAGGAAACTAGAAAGTCAATCAGAAGAGAAATTTAAAGGCTTT